GGTATTGCAGCCTCAAAGCTGTGTGGGGAAAACCAAAACCACATAACCTGATGCTCTGATGTCCTTTGTGTTTTGTTCAGCCACACCGTGCATCAAAGCCATCAGCCCGAGTGAAGGTTGGACTACGGGGGGAGCGATGGTGATCATCATTGGAGACAACTTTTTTGACGGGCTGCAAGTTGTATTTGGGACCATGCTTGTATGGAGTGAGGTGGGTAGAGGTGCCTCCCTGTCACGAAACTCATGAAACAGTTCTTTTTTTGAGGACAGTGGTGGAGAAAGAGTGCTTATTTTTATTCCAGAACTGGTACAAAAATGGTGATGTGTAGAGTGGGCTAAATAAACATGTTTTCTCTGTGGAACTCCTTGGCTGAGACCAACTGCTCAGTAATATTCAGAACGGGACGGAACAATCCTGGCATCTGGAGGTGGGTAAAGGTAAAGAAGGGATTTGAGTTTAGGAAGGAGAAGGAATTCTCTCTGGGTCGAGAAATAAGCCAGCAATTAACTGATGGGCACATGCAGTACAATTTTCCTGATGACAGTTTGTCCTAAAATGTGTCTTCCTCTCCTGGAGGCAAGAAAGGAGACTGGCTGGATCACTTGCCTGATCTAGAGTGCCTCCCCTCTAGGAATAAGCAATGCATTAACTCGGAAAGCATGTTGGGAGGCTGAAAAGTGAAAGCGGGGTGGGATAGCACAGACGTGCCATAATCGTGCCTCTCCATTTGTTGTTCCCCAGCTTATCACGCCTCACGCCATTCGAGTTCAGACACCTCCACGTCACATTCCCGGAGTGGTTGAAGTGACATTATCATACAAATCCAAACAGTTTTGCAAAGGCGCACCGGGCAGGTTTATTTACACAGGTAGGTGGTGGCGATTTACGCTCGAGGAGCTCGAGCTCGGAGCCTCGTTGTTTTGGTAATCGGTATTGACAACTCTCGGCTTGCTTGCTTTCTTTATTTAGCCTCTCGCTGTTTGAAGGCCACTCTGCTGGTTGTGACATTTGGACACATAAGGAGATAGCTTCGTTGTTGTGCAGAGGTGTTAAGACACTGTTACTACACATGTTAATATTTTTTCCAGATGAGAGCTCATGCTGTTACCTTATGGGTCTGCCTATAGATACATTGAGTGTACAGGAACCCGATAGCATTGTTGTATATACTGGAAGATGTTTTATTTATAATGGTATTTATTTTACATTTCCCTCTCGCTAGGGGTAACCTTTCGTTTTCAAGATAATCCCAGAGGACAAGGAGAGCATCTTGTGTCGAGAGAAGCCAGTGGACTGAGTGGAAAATAAATCTGTTGGTTTCTTTTTTTCTTAAATGGATTATCAACTTACTTAGTGCCCTGTATTCACCTCTGCTAGTAGGACAACATTGTCTGTGGGTCTGAAAGAGAGAAATCTGATGGGACCAGATGATCATTTCATCGAACTGTCAGTACCAGTAGCAACAATGACAGCATACAATGTGCACACTGTATTTTCTGAAGCCTATTAAGCACGGCTGGAGAATAATGGTGCACCAAGTTCTAAAGGGTGGATTTAAGTTGGATGACTTCCTCCCACCAAATCATATTCACATTTCTCAATAAGGAAGGATTTATTTAATTTCTTTATGCTTCTTACTACCAAGAGTCCTCATTAAATGTGTATTGTAATTGTCAAATTTTAGATCATAATTTAACACAAAAATAAGAGTGAATGTCCAAGTCTGACTTGCTAGAGTCAGGCGCTCCTTCAGCAAAGGACCAGTGTCACTGGTTCAGGCACAGTATCGGGCTTGCAGGGGCTGCACTAGGCCTGATGCGTTTACCTTCAGAGACAGAGACTGTTAATTCTTTAGTTATTGCAGATTTAAGCATAGAGTTCTTCTGTGCCATTTGCTGCTTCCGGAGGCCTTGCTCTCACAGGTCTTCAACACAAGCGTTGCTGCGGGCCACCATCTGTGTGCTCTTGATACCTGTGTTGAAAGAGGTTTAGGATTGGAGTGAGACAGAGATGGGTAATGAAAATGTGCATTCTTCCATGGAGAAAAGTCCTCTTATTATTGTAAAGCTGTTTCAAGTGCAAGAATTACTCGAACCATCTAGGGGGGACTTGAGTCAGACCGAAGTGCCGTTCTTTGACATGTTAATTAGAGTGCTTCCACAAAAAAGGACATGAAGATGTAGGTAGGAGCCAGCAGAAAGTTAACTGTACTCTCCCTGTTTTACTGCTGTTACTGGCATAGGGGATATCTGTTAGCATTCTCTGAGGAGTGAGTGGGTGCTCGCTGCCATATGTTACAAAACAGCGTTTCGCAGAAGATGCCGAGCTGTTAGAGCGAGGGTAGAACAGGCAACTTTTCAATCTGTCTGTTCAAGAACCTGCAGCTCTCCCACCATGGCAGGCAAAATGATAAACACAGCTATTAGGTAGAGCCTCACCTGTGTAATCAATTCCCCCAGGTAGTTGCTGCTAATAGCAGTAAAAACAACTTCTCGGCTATGAAAATAACATGGTGGCATTTTTTTTTCTTCCTGTGTCTGTGCTATCCAGAAATTACTGTGATGCTACTGTGAACAAATGTGTTGATCTTAGGCCTAGGTAAGCTATGTTTGGGCAGCCAAAGTCCTCTTGCCTCTAAGCCTTCTTCAGAACTTCTACAGCTTTTGAACCTCTTGACTAATTTCTGTGAGATTTTATCGGAAAGGTAGGAGCATCAAAGATGCACAGTTCCAGCACTTTTTTGTGAAAATGCAAGACAGATCTGAGTTAATCCTCTGCTGAAAGAAAGGGCGAAGAGCTCAACCCTGTTATTAGTGGAGAAGCTACCAGAAGGCAGCCTGGGAGACCGAAAATTTTGAAATCTTGCAAACTAAAAGCAGGGGAAGGTGTAGTTCTGTCAGAACTGGTAACGGCAGCAACAACTTGCAGCCCTGCTGCTATCAGGGTCCTGTTGTATTTACGTCCTTCATAATTATTAAGTGCTGAGATATAACCTTGGGTGAAAAGCACGAAGGGTCAAGTCATACGAAAAGCACCAAGTAGCTGGCTATAGGTACTTTGCAGGTATAACAGGAGTAATTACTCATTTAAAACCAGACTACAGAGGGTTCGTCAGGGCGTCACCAGGTCAGACACGGGCATCCAGTTACAGAAAACCACGCGTTTCTGTTTTATATGCGAGGCATTGCCGCAGAGGGACGAAGAAAGATGAACCACTTGCCTTGTGGTTAACTTGTGGTTGCACAGGAAAGCTGAACACAGACAGGGAGGTAGATCTCTCAAGTTCTGGTCATACTCTTTAATCACCAGAACACCAATGCTCTTTTACGACATGGAAACAGGAAAACAGTGATCTTAGTGTTGTGTGTATCTGCCTGTGCCCTCAGTGTTTAATACACAATCAAATATTAATGTTTGACCTGATTATATTTGAGCTTTTTTTTTTTTAAGAGTCACAATAAGACAGGTTGTTTGAAGAAGAGAATGATAAACTGTTGAAAAGATGACTATAAAAATTAGATATAAATTTCAAGGGTAAATCTAAAGGCCACAGAGGAGCTGTTATGAGAGCTCATATGCGTCCTGTAATGTGTATTTATAATGGGCTCCTTGCAAAGTGTGCTGCGCTGGCATTGCTGTAGTTACGGTTCTGTCAGCGTTTCCACTCTTAAGTGCTATCATTCAGGGCGCTGCAACTCAGCCATCAAATTCCTCTCATCGCCGAAATGTGATGTGTGGACTTTTCCATCAGGTTCCCAGATGGAAAACTTCTATAAGAGTGAAGCCAAGAGGATTTTGAGGGCATCTAACGGCGTACTACTGAGTGTAGCAAAAATGTAGAGAAACAGCTTGTTACACGTTAATGGCAGTTGCTGAACCAAATTTTGCATATTTCAGTAGTATAACCGTAACAGTACAAGAAGTTAAAAAGTCTAATTTTAAATCACCACAACTAAACATTTAGTCCCCACGTGTACCTTACGCTGGTGAGAATACAGGTTCCACATCCATCTCCGTGGTCTGAATTGCTTTTCTTTCATAAGCTCTTCCTGGAACAATAGGACATTTGTTCTCTGCTGCTAATGTAGCAGTAGCTTCATATTCTGCTTCTGATACTGCGCGAATTCCAATTCTCTGCCGCTTTAAGTAGTCCCATTATAGTTCCCCTGACTTTAATAATGCTTACATCAGTTTACGCCAGCTGAGGCTACGTATCGTAGGCTTTCATACCTTAAGTTTGATCACAGCTCTGCATTTACTTTGTCATAGAGACACTAACCGGGAAATGTGTGTATCAGGGAGATTTTGAACATAATTTTCCTCGCTGAGCAGAAATCCCCCAGGGGTTAACCTGTCAGAGCAATGCAATATCGAATAATCTGTAGGATATGTGGGACTCCTGGGCCGTACTGTATCAGTCTCCATGCCAGGTACCCAGCATAGGGAGATACTAGTTCACTAAAGCTCATCAGTAGGTTTGAGAAGGTCTTGTCTGCTTGTGGGAAACAACATTTACAAGGACGCAGTGAGCTCTACAGATTGGAAGAACGAGTTCACTTGGCCGGAATATGACTGATGTGACAGAAACCGTTTGCAGAGAACAGATCCTACCGCTGCGTTCGCCTCGGCAGGACACGTGCAATGGGAGGCAACGCTGTGGTGAGGGTTGGGTGTTGGGAGCAGCACATAGAACACGGGACCACTGCGGTTCACTTCTAGCAGCATCCTCCCAGCCCCAAACCACAGGGTGCCCTCAGAGCAGGCTGGCCGACACGTCTGTACCTCCCAGGCCCAGGATTAGTGTGGCTGGAGCGAGCGAGCTTCCGCGGCCAGCGGTGGGGCTGTGCTCTGGTCTGGGGCGCGAATGCCGATCCTCTCTTGGCGTGAGTGATGGTAGTCACCAGTGCAAAGCTGGAATTCAAGCTTTAAAGGCCACGGGTGCTTTTTTCTCTGGGTTAACACCTTTAAGAAGGTCGAGCATCACCCTGCAAATGCTCCCCCGCCGCTGGCTCAATTTTCTGGGTTGAGGATATTTCTATAGGTCCGTGTACTTTGTTTCTCCTCATCCATGCTTTGCAAACGAGGATTTGTCGCCTTGTGGTCTGCTTCGTGGAGCTGCAGAACTTTGTGAAGGTGCTTGAACGTGGCCCCCTTTTTGACTTGCGGAGAGGGAGAGCACGCGCGTCCCCAGGCGTACGCTGGCAATATCAGAATGAGCTGTCTCTCATGGTAAATCGTGCAGATCTCCATAACATCGTCTTCCTTGAAGAGCCTTATATGCTTTGATGTGTGGTGAAATAATTAATACTTTAAATGTCAGCGCTGTTATCACTGGGTATCTGAGTTAGTCCCCGTTGAGATGAATGGAACTGAGCTGTTGTTTCAGGTTTTGTGGATGCAGACAGATGTCAGGGCATCAGTTGCTCAAGTGTGAGAAATTTTTTTCCCCTCCTGTTCCAGTGAATCATAATAGCCGGAGACTTGTAGTTAAAATGAATGCATGGATTTGGGAAGGTAAGGAACAATATAAAATAGTAAGTGCTGCGCCACACCACTTGAGCCTTGTCAGAAATAGAGTCAGACAGGCTGGGGGGCATTCAGACCTCTCGCTACTGCTGATGGTAACGGTTCTGTTGTTAAAACAGTTATACTAGAGTGAAGTTTATAGACTAACTGACAGTGGAGTTTATTTACTAGACGGTTGCTCTTTTTTTTTTTGCATACATTATGTTATGTCATGCACGATTTTTTCAACTGTTCTCTGGGAAATTCCCCTTGTGCCCAAAACGCGGGAGCTGAGAGTGGCCGAAGGGATTTTGCTGTGCCTGAATCAGCTTTCTTGGGGGTTTTATTTCAGCTTCTGATCTG